TTCAAGAATGCAAACTCAAGTGGGTTGGATTTCTCTTGCAACTGGGAGGTCTTATGGAATCAGTAAGTAAATGCAGTAAGGGAGTGGGAACTCTTGGATGGGTTTGACAGGTCAAGGCTCAACTGTTGGCGTATTCTGGACTCCACTGAAAATTAGTTTTGATTTGAACTGATCCTATGTAAAAAGCAGTGAATAATAGCAGAGGCACCTGCTCGGCCACCAGCAGGTCTCCAGCACCAACAGCCCCACAGAAACCATCCAGACATGCACCCTAAAGAGCCTCCCAAGCCCTGCTGCCCCACCAGCTCTGCCCCCAGTGTGCTCCCCAGGCAAACCCCCGTGCTCCTGCTGCCTGGCAAGGAGAGCCCCACCGCCCCTGAAGCCTCCCACCGCCACACACGTGGTGACTGAGAATGCTGTACTTCCCCTGGGGGTTGCTCTGACCAGAAAGCTTAACTCACACAAATATTTGGCAACAGTTTTCAGCAGAAAATTCCCAGAATCACATTGGATGGGACTGTGGGCTGGGGGCAATACAAGTGATTAATGGATCCTCGGTGGAACAAAACCTACTCAGATCTGTCACAAGATAGTTGCTATGGTTTTCTGACACAGCTTAGCAGAAATTTGCTTTGGCTAGGGGACTGGAGGAGGGGAGAAACACACAAAAAAAAAATACTATAGAAAAGTCCTCCATTGTAGGCTGGCAATTATTCTGGGCAAAATCCTGTGCCTGTCTAGAATCTCAAGCTCTGTCTAAATACTTTCAATTAGATTTTTTTTTTTTTTTTAAAAAAAATGAGGAGACTTTGTTAAGAACAGACAGCTTGAAACATGTCTTGTTAGCTATCAACAAAGTCTGTTAGAAATGTTGGAAGGTTTCAGCTAGGTTGATGTAAAAACAACATCAAATATCCCCTCCTGTGAGACTAAGTTAAATGTTCTTTGCAGTGACTCAATTAAGGCTAGGTAAAATGCACGGTTCATTGCAATCATCAGCAACAACATCAGAATTTTTTAGTGGGATATTTTACCAAAGTCTCAAGTTTCAGCTGTTTTAAGAACGTTTTGTGTAGAAGGCAGTTTGCATAAGTGAAAAATATTCTAATATATTCTAATATTCTAATATATGAGACATTATCTGCCTGAAATGCCCAACATAACAAGAAGTAGAAGTTACCCAGGAAAGGCTTTTCGAAATGTCTAAAAATGGGTGCTTCCCATTTTACAAGGTATAAAAAAGCCAGAGCAGTATGCAAGAGTTTTAAGGTACCATACCCATCCGGAAAAAGAGCTTTTCTCCATGTATTTTGAGCAACATAACTCCAGGCTTTTATCACCACCCCCACACAAAGGAAGATCCTGCTAGACTGAACACCGGCGATTTTGGTAAGTTCATTGCTTATACAAGTGTCTACAGAAATTGCGATCCTTTAGCATCCACAGGCATGAGGCTAAGTTATCTTGTGATCACCAAATTCGGAAAGATGCAGTGCCCACCTCCCCAGAAACATTGTATAAGGGTTGTCCACCTATAGTCAACAAACATCAAACCAGAAGATCCAGGAACACAACTTCCAACTCTTTCGTTTGGTTTTGTATACTTATACTTTATACTCATATGGCATGTGTTTATGTAACATAAACCAATGCTATATAGGCAAACATCCAGGGTAGCTTGAAAGATTCTCCCTGCGTAATGCAGCAGTATAGCTGTGTTATGACATTGCTCTGGTCTACGGGGGGAATTATTCCAGGAAAAGCACTAAGCTGACACAGCTGCTCTACTACTGTAATCTGAGCCTTCTTATTCAGCTTGAAGTATTACTTCATTATGTCACACAAATATTTTTAAGCATTTTTGGAAAATCCATTCCATTTCTGAATCTCCGTTAGGATTATTAATTATTTTGTTAATTAATTCATAGCTTCATTCATGTCAGTGGTCCAAACTCAGTTTTTACCAGATGATCATCTGGCCCACAAGAACTCTCAGAAATCATAGATAATATAGGACAAAAAAGCTGCTGGAATGTATCCATTGCCATGTATTGTGTTGGACAGACAAAGTGTCAAACTATATAGCATGAGGGAGAACTTCCTGAGAATTACTTAACAGTTTTCAGTTGAAAATGCTATGTCAATATCACATTTTTTCATATAAATATAATAGTTCTAATGCAAATTTTAATTTAGAGAGTTGTTCAGTTCCAGGGTAGAAGGATAAAGCCCACTCAGCACCATGACAGATGCAGAGCAAGTGTCGGAGGGGGAAGGTGGCAGGCACAGGTGCAAATCTCAACTTTTCTTATCTCCCCTCCTAAAAACTTGGCAAGATCTTGGTTTTATTCCAGGGGGACATACTGAAGTTTCAGGATGGGAAAATCCTCTTTTTGCCCAGCTCCACATTTGAAATTTCTCCAGCTTAAATATTCCTGATGTCTGAGTGACTGCTTTAAAATCAAAGACTTTTATAGGGTACAAGAACAGTATGCCCATTTTTTTTTTACCCGCTGCACACCAGAAGACATGATAGAGGAATATTTCAGTAGTTATCTATAACACATTTGACAGTTAGATTCAGATCACTAGATGGAAACACAGATAACAGAAGGATTTTTCCAGACAGTCTTTAAAAATAGCTCTACCATTGAATGCAATGTAAGTTGCATGTGAAAATTGGCCACATTTATAAGCCTATGTTTAACATCACCACTGCTCCTTCAACTGCTTCATTAAGTGTTTTGGACTTTTTTAGGGTTCACCACATTTCCAGTGTGTTGTTTTTTTTTTTCAGCTTTTTAAGTAATTCCCTCATTATGATTTTAGTCAGCCACCTACTGCATCCATCCTATTGCTGTCCACTCTCCTAACACCTTCTAGGGCAGCTCTGAGCAACACATACAGCCCGTTCACAGGAATTAACAGGAACAAGTCATCCAGTAACACTGGAAATGTTAATTCAATAAATTATCTTTGCAACTCCACCAACTATCAGAAACTAATTAAAAATGTGTGATTGTTAACATTTTTGATGATTTTTTTTTGTCTATGTGTTTTCTTTGAATTTCTACAGCTAGTTTTCACCCTGCATGTGAAATAAACATCCATATTATTATTTGCAGATCAGAAAATAACAAAACAGGGTAGAATTCCTAGGTAGAACGTTCCTCCATCAGAACAGGAAAGCTGGAGCTGACAAATGACAAGTGAAATTACCTAGAGCAATGTTCTTTTTTGAAAGCTGGAGCATTAAGCAGATAAAAGCCAGTCTCCTGCTTTGGGAAAGTAAGTAAGGAGAGCAGCTGGTGTTACTTAGACAGTTACAGTCCTTTTCTACACTGACACTGGCATAGTTCCTCTTGACTGTGCATGAGAGGGATTTCCTAGTGGTTTTATTCTTAGACAAATGTGACAACTCTCTTTGAGAAGTCTATTTCTACAGAGGGAACTTACATGGCCATTAAACTAGACATTCCTCCTTGAAGATGCTACGTGCTCATCAGTTGTCCACACAGGAAATGGATCACAAGGGACTACATGTACCCAGTTATCTATTTCTGTCTGCAGACTTTAGTTCAACACCAGTTTTGCTAACAGTATGTTCACTCATTGCCCACCTCCTCCAGTCATCTCAATTTCTTCAGGCTGACAAGTGAAGAACAGAAATGACGAGACACCACTTGGTGCCTCAATCTAAAGCAATTTAACATGGACCTCAAGGTGCACTAAATAATAATTTTAGCTTATATCAGGAGCACACCTTTGGACCAAGTATACTGATCATCCCCACTTGCTGTGCTTTCATCAATGTTGCATAGTGCTCTTAGAGTGCTCTCAGACGCAATGCAGCTGTGAGGTGCACTTCAAGGGTCCATCTGATGTTCTCCAGTTGCAAATGAAACCTGCAGCAGTGGCATCAGCTTCTCAGCATCAACTCTGCTGTTAAAGTGCTCCTATTGAGCTGAACTACCTGTTAAGGTAGACATAAGTTCAGAGAGTGAACTGTAGGAGAGAATTAGCTAATGGGAAGAAGATACCATAGATCTTTTGTTTCTATCACATCCTTATCTACCTAGCTGAGCAGGCCTCTGAGGATCTCTTCTGTTAGCTCTTTATTCCCAGGAAGTGGGCTGAGACCTGCACCTGCCTCAGGGTTCAGGATCCCCTTAAGTGTCATGGCCTCTAGGAAACAGAAAATTTAATATCCAGAAGAATTGTGCAGCATGGCAGCACTGCTACAAAAGAAATAACTAGAAGGTAAATCCTAGAATATTTGAGAAATTTATTTCCTTGTTAGTATGTCTCAAGTTTAATTCTAGATAAACTCAAAGCTTTCATCTCCACTAGGTGGTGTGTTTTGTCTTTCTGTCATATGTGGCCTTACAAAAATTCCTCCAAATCCTTCATTCAAGACAGGGACACAAAATATCATGAAATTTGAAACAGGAGTCTGGTCTACAGGAGACAGAAGTTTCACCAGGCCATTCCTCTTTGGTGTTTAATCGTTATGACTCCTTTAAAAAAAAAAAATGCTGTCAGGAAAGGATAACTTACCTCTTAGATCCATGGAGGAATGAAGTATGAACCTGAAACAAAAATACCACCTTCTATTTGTCCTTACCCTAGGTGACATTTAAGTTCTTTGTGTGATTTTTTTGTTGTTGTTGTTTATTACAGTGCAAAATTCTTAACAGCTCTTTGTTTTATGTCCAAATTACAAGATGATGCAGTTAAACATATTCCTGGATCTTTCTTGGCCAGTTCCATTTCCACTTGAATAAATATAGTTATGTATAAGAGAAGTAGAGAATGCCAGGCTGCATAACTGGATGCATCGTAGTAGATGGCCCCTAGCTAAATATAACTCTTCAGGGGATATGTCCTTCTGGCTGAAACAAAACCAACTTCCTTGGCTGGTGCCATCCAGCACTTGGCTTCATCTAAAGTCCAGATAAAGTCAGCATTTATGTTTTTAAAACAAACAAACAAACAGAGCATAGATTGCTAATAGATATTTGTAGGCATTTATTTTTTTAAGCTCACTAAATAATAGTTACAGACATATACAGAGATAAAAAATAGTATAGGAAGCAAGAAGCCCAAGAACTCATAAACAGCATACCAGAGCTCTGTAACTAATCTGCTACATGGTTCAGTTCTCCCTAAGATTCAGCAATAAAAATATCTTTAGTGGGAGTATGTAACTAGGTAATTCTTACTGCACTTTTCCAGGATGGTTTGTAGGTATTAAGTTTAAACATAAGTCAGAGAAATCACAAAAACAAACCAGTAAGAGAAAGTTGTTCAAAGCACAAAACTGAATTGAACAAAACCCATCTGGCAAATTGAAGCAAAATCAACTGTAATTGTCTGTATGCTATCCATCTGTTACTTTGCTTGCCCTTGGAGAAGTGACACTGGTAACACAGGCTTTTTTTAATGAACCAAACCATGAGAAAAACAAACAATAAACACATCCAACAAAGAGTGAATCATCAACATATACTACTGAAACTTTCTTGTACTTCCTCACAGTGACAGTCTGCATGGAACCCATGTTAACTCACACTATTTACATATCCAGATACATCCAAGATTAGCCAGAATAGATGTCTCTAAAAAGTTTACATGCCCATGTACCTTCTCCGAGAACAAAATTGAAAATACAGTACAACTACCTGTTATGCATCATTAATGGCATTTCTAAACACAGTTGCCACAGGAGGATTTGCTTCTGAATGCAAATTTACCAAACCAGCCATTTCCTCTGCCGATGACTGATGCGTGACAAATCTGAAGTATCTGCATCTACAATTATGAACACTATAGACTTAGTGAAATATATGGGGACAGATTTTCCAAGTATTTCAAGCTTGGATGGAAACAAAACCAGAAAATTCCTCAACAGCTAAAATAAAGACTTTAATCTCATGAAAATAAACAGTTTGCAACTGGATTTGTCTCAACCACTGCCACAGTCTAGTTACTCCGGAGTTATATTTTCTACAATAGAGTCTGTATGATATTATATTGACCAAAGTTTCTAAAAGTATGACTCTTGATGAGACAGGAAAATAGTAAAGATCTTTCTTGGTTGTATGCACTAGACAAATTGCCCTCTTGACATATCATTTTGTGCACACAGTCCCAAGAAGTGGTTTGTGCACTTGTAAATTGATACATGTGATAAGCTTTGCATTAAGTGCCCAACTGCTCTGTGAAACACAGAAACCTGAGAAACCCAAGACATACCATGGTTAGTGCATGTTTGCCTGTATTGCACATTAGCTATGTCTAATTATTGATGTTGATTAATTTAAACCTGATTTGTAGTCTGCTGCAAAATCTCATGCCAGCTGACTGCTTGATAGCAGCACCAATAAACACAGGCCTATCATAGGAAAGAAGCACTTGGTGATGGATAATCACAAAGTACACTCAGGTGTACTGAGTACTTTCAAGTATTTTCAGGTTGGAGGTTTGTGATCCATTATCACATTCATGCTGTCATTAAAATATGCCCCTGAACAGAGGTGAATTTAAGAGGATAAGAAAGAAAAGGAAACTCAGCACAGGGACAGAGATGCCCAATACTGGCATCACATCAACAAGGTAACTGCACTCCAGCCTCAGCAAACAGAGGTTCTACAGGCTTCACTTTGTAAATCACAGCAGCGGATGGCTGAAATCCACTCCCATACAATTCCCATGCCTGAAATGGCATTGCCTACATTTATACACCCTGATAAGAGACTTGGATTTCCAAAGAACTGAGTAACTTCTTTTCTCATACATTCTGATGCCTGTTACAGGGGGGCACAGTACACTTGAAACAACAGCAAAATATCTGGCCACTATTACACAGCCAATAAACTTTTATTTAGATGTGGAAGGAAAATATGCTTAAAGGAAGAAAAATCTAGGGAGATTTATTATTCCCCTGAAATTCAGGCAAGTCCCACAGGTTCCCTGGCAGCATGTCAGTGCTTGAGCAAGAGGATGATCAGATTTTTTAAATCAAAGGCTCAAGTTAATATTAACATACATTGTAGTAGAGACTTCTCATCTCCACATTGCTTCCTGATTGATACAATCTGTGTATGAGGAATAATCCAGATATTGCATTGCACATATTTGGCAGGTCTTGCACCCCTCTTCACAGACAATGGTTTTGTCATAACTCACAATGAAGTTATTGTAATACTGCTCAAACAGCTTGCTGTGTGGCACAGACAACTGCTTGGCCATTTCATATAAGCTTTCGGGCTTCAAGTCTTCAATACCATAAGCTTTAGTCAGGATGTATTCTAATTTCCAGTCCGATTCATTTTTCTTGTTGGCGTCTCTGAGATCCAAGTAAAACTGCCAAAGATCCTACAGTTTAAAAAAAAAAAAAAAAAAAAAAGAAGAAAAAAAAATAGGCACTGCTGTATTGCTTTCTTCCCTGCTTCATTAAGTCTCTAGAGTGATATATTGATTAGGAAGCTGTCACTCCTCATTATTCACAAATGAATAGAAGGTCACGTCCCACCCCAAGAGCTGGGCTTACACCCAAAGCTGGTACTTGCAGTGTGGTAATGGTGGGGGGATGGGGAGAAGAAATGAGAAACACAAAAGGCAGCAGAGGCACTGTTAGAAGTCTTTCCTGTCCAAACTGTAAACCAAATTCCACTATGCTTGTGTCTGGCATGGGTCTGGGGCAAAAAAGTGAAATCCAGAACTCTTTTCTGTGGACACTGCTTGAGGGACAGAAATGGACAGAATGGACAGAAAAAGAATAGCCCAGGGAGAATTCAGAGGAAAGGGAGAGATGGAGATACAGGAATGAAAGCTGCACAGGAAAGAAGCAGGCAACATTAGCACAGATCTTCAGAGGGAAACCCCAGTCTCAGTCAAGCCACAGGATGTGTTGTCACTGAACTCGGCAAGGTCAAGACTTAACTTTGAATTACTGAGAGTATGTCTGAGTTACTCAGAGCTAAAATCACCACACAGGATTCACTATATCTCCAAAAAAAATAAAGACTACAGAAGTATTCTAAGTTTTCTCCTTTAAAATGTCTTTACAATTTCCTATTGAAAGTATAAACCCTATATAGGAAGCTGCATGATTATGAAAGGCATCACATGGCTAGAAGTGTGATTTTCTTCATCTGCTTTTCTATACCCTGTAGAAGCACTTCATGCCTCCCAAAGCTCAGACAATCACCAGCAAACAACACTGGTATGTAAACAAGCTAATAATAACTGGTATGAACCTTTTTCACCATTGCAGAGCTGAGCTCCCTGCAAACAGTTTCAGGATTATGCCCAGAAAAATTCTGACCACCTTTGATTCTACATCGTAGGAACATTCAGAGAACAGGAAGCACTGGGTAGTCTTGCAGCCAGACAGACTGACTAAGTTCTCTCTCAGATTTCATCTTCTTTGCCCAAGAAGAAAAATAACAGTAAGCACCAAAGTTCCACCGATTACCAGAATACTACAAAGGCTGACATCTCACTGTAATTTTTAGTGACAGTGTATTTAAATATTTAAGTCCTAAATGATGCTTTAAAAGCCTTACGTACCAGCAAGCTATAATCGAGAAGATCATATTGATAGAATCTGACACCCGGGTTATTGGACTCCATTTGCCATACATTCTTCACTGGGGTTACAGCAGGTGCCACAAACAAGGAATTTACTGGCTTTTCTGCAAGAAAGGGAGCGGAGGAAACAGTTACCTTTCAATCATTTCTTTCTCAAACATATTTTTATGGAGAGCCAACACAACAAGAACTAGAGTGAGAAGCTTAGGTACATCAGCAATTTTTTACCCTGGATTAGTTACACCATTACGAATTCCTTTATTTCCATTCAATGGACCAAAATCTGTGTACCTACATTCCACTGCTTATCAGTTAAGTTTATCTATACTGGAGGCTTCACACCAGTTCAACTATCCAAGTGCTAAATGGTCTTGCCTGCCGGTAAGGCCTCTGTACTTTATATATTTCTGCTGAAGAAACATCCAGAACTTTGAGTAGCTTTCCTCATGCTACACTTTACGTGTTGCATTATGTATTTGTTCTTCATGTATTTATAATGTCATTAGAAACACCAGGGTATCATAAACTGACTCTGACTTCACTCATCTAGACTAGCCCAGAATCTAGTTAGTAAACACTGATCTTTACGGTAACTGAAACACGAGGACATACAAAAGTGTTAATAGGCAGAATATGCAGGTAAGAGTATTGAGAGGTTCTCTGTGTAACAAAAGAAACTCTAACCATTCCTTTCTCCAACAACATCATGGTGGTGAAGTCACAAGGCCAGTCTCCACAAATGAGAAGAAACTTTTAAACCCTAGAAATCAGTAAATACTTCCAGAAGAGGTAACACTGAGCTCTGTATCTCAGTATGCTGATGTTGGCTATAGTATTATACTTATCTTGAATTCTCTGAAATTTTGTCAAAAAGAAAAATGACATGAAGAGAAGAAAGCCTAAAACTGTACAGATAAACAAACTGTATCACACTACATTAAATTTCACTGTTTGGATTTTGGCAAAATATGCAAAATTATTAAAATACTCTGGAAGCAGTTACTTGCACGTGGAAACTGTAATGAGAATGCATCAAGTTCTGCCTATTCTCAGTGAAATTTGCAGTAGAGGTGATGATTTCATGCACAAATGGGACAAGGGACAAAAATATGCATGTGTAAGACTGTTCTGAAAACCATTTGAGTGTATTAAAGGCCATTTCTTTCACTTGGGTTGGATTGATTTTTACTGGACATTAATTCCATGTTAACGGTATGCAAGAAGGTAAATCATTTAAAGCCCTGTTAGCCCAGTCCGCGTTTTGGGCATTGCATTTATGAGTTCATATAAAAACAAACACAGATAAGGAGCCAATTAATACTGGGATATTTTATGTAAACCAAAGCAGTAGACGCCTCACTATGCTGTAGACACAAGCATCTAACTAGCTACTTGTTAGATCTTCTGCTAGAGATGTAAGAGTGTTTCATACAGAAATATCCACGCTTAAAATTAAGGGATTTCAAAGCAATAAACAAACTTTTCAAACCTGGGTGCTTTTCTTGAAGGTGCTTTTCTTGCTGATCTAAGAGATGCAACAAGCAGAGACTTTCATTCCCCTGCCTCCTGCTTACCCCTATCTTAATTAACTTTGAAGCAGCAGGGAACTCAGCAGAGAGGCACAGTAATGATGCAGGAAACACAAGAACACAGAGCATGTCTAGTTGGCCTGAGAACATTCCCTTTGACACATTACACAATAGCAACTGGCTAGTACAATTTGCCCATGTCACTGAGAAAGTGGAGAGGAAAGAGTAGAAATTCTTGTCTAGGCATGAGCATTCATTAAAAATATAGGAAGCCTGCAGAGTCTCTTCAGATTTCAGAAAAAAAGACAGTCTGTCTTGCAAGGTTTTATTTGGAAAAAATCTGCAAGTGAGTGAGGCTTTGAACTTCTGTAGATAAATAGCAGAATTTCACAATTTCATTTTTCAGCTATTTACAACACAGACTGACCGGTAACACCATGTAAGAAAACATTAATTTGCTTTTAATCAAAAAGGATGAAGGATTCAAAGAGCATCCTTACCTTCTTCATCCAGGAGGACCATGATACTATCTCTATGTGTGTGGCCAAAAAACTGCCCAGCAATAACACTACTGTATTTGCGAAAAATCTTCACTAGTCTCTCATTGTAATACTCCCTGATAGCTGTAGTATTCCTCGCATATGGCAAGTATCCTACTGGTACATGTCCTATTATATACACCTAAGAAATTAGAGAAAACACAATTAGCATCTTCCTTTGAAACTGATAGTTTTAGCTTTAACTTAGAAAAGGTTAACACAATTTTATTCTAATGCTATCTTTGAAAAGGCATTCTGAAAGCCAGAAATCACAGCAGTTTTACTATACAAAATACAATGAGTAAGTATGTTTAAATTTAATGAGAAAAATAGTTTTTTCTTAGTGCATTCTTGAAAAACAGTTCTGCTAACTCTCTGCATGATTTTAGGGCAAAGAAAAATGTGTTCAATTGTTTCAAATGAAAACGTAAGTTAACCAGGGCAAGACATGATTTGGCACCTCAAGGGAATAGCAAAAAATATTTGTGTTAGAATATTATAGGGAATGGTCAGATATTCAGCATAAACATAGAAGAACTAATTACAATCTTTCTGTAAGTCTCTAAGTCTGTTGTTTAGACTGAGACTGGCCTCCAATGGCACAAGAAAGTGAAAGATCTCCTTTCCCCCCACTATAATATAATATTTAAAAAGACAACAACTGTAAACATGTTTTACACTAAACACTTTTCCTGGTCAGCTGATGATCCAATCCCCACACCAATCAATAAACACGAGCAACAAGTTATAACCCCACTTAAAAACTGAGTATTATTAGGCAATTAATTATTATTTTAGCACTTAAATTGAAGGTTGGCTAAGTTTTGTGGTTGTCAAAATCTTTTCTAATATCCAGTTTTCATACTCATAACTATGTATCAATGTAAATGAAATACAATAACTTTTGTTTCAGACCAAGGGCGCATATTTTAAAACTGAAGGCTTAGAGTAAAAAGATTCAGAAACAAAAGTTAAAGTATTTTCCTTCTGGCTCCTATGGCATTTTACATCATAAGAGAGAAAAGGTATTTTACCGGATAATTTGAGAAAGACTATGCAATTATTGTACTAATTGTTGTAGTACGTACATAATGTGCATATTCAACAAAGAATTATTAATACAAATGAAACTGTGATTTTTTCCATCTCTTTGGTAACATTAATATTATTCTAAAATCATATTTATACCACATAATCATCTAGGTTGGAAGAGACCTCCAAGATCATCTAGTCCAACCTCTGACCTACCACTAACAAGTCCTCCACTAAACCATATCACTAAGCTCTAAATCTAAACTTTTCTTAGTTTCTTCTTTTCTTCAAAGTTTAAACAAATAACACCAATGGGTTCTGTTCACTACCCTTACCTTTTCCTGCTTTTGTGAAGACGCTTCCAATATTCCCTCCAGCCAGGCCAACTGGTTGGCTGGGTCTGTGATATTCACAGTCACGCTATTTGGGCTGTAATATAAGTTTGTGTTCAAACTGATTATCCTGAGTGGTTGAGAGCCAACGCTTGATTCAAACAGCTGTGTGTAGAAGCCACCTGTGAAAGTAAGACCAACATCATCTGAAAAAAGAAAGGCTTCAAAGCACAACTTAGAATCAAAGTACAGCACCAACAACATATCCAGTCTTCCAAATCCTAGTAAAATAGGATGTGTTTAGCCAGGCTACGTATCACCTTATCACAGCAGAACATCTTAAAAATCTGTTTTCAGGAACATTTTAGTATGAAAAGTGGACACTGAATATTTTATGAATCCTTGCCTGTAACTGCCTTTGTTTTTGTTTCCACATGCAATTATCCAATTCATGCACAATAAGTGCCCTGTAACATTTCTACCACAAACGGAGATGCAGTAATTGTTAGAAGGGCAAATTTCTTAAAATACTGCAAACACATAGGTTTGTCGAGGAAGCTTTGTACTTCAAAACTCATTTAGCTTTAGACTAGGACATAATTAAGAGCATGGCACACAGGACTTCAATGGGTGCAATTTCATAGTTCATGGACTTCACTGGAGCTGTGACAATAGAGCTGTAACAATATACTTTAACGTTAAGATCTGCTCCTTTGAGTTTTATTTTCCTATTAGAATTCCTACTTCCATTCTTACCCAGATGTCCTTCTTTTTCAGGACACAAAACACAAATTAAAATTCCAAATCCCTAATGTCTGGAAATTGGGCTGAATTTTTCAGTCTTTTCGTAAAAAGAAAAATCATAATTAGCATATCCTTATTTTAGCAGTTGAGTAAGTTGGATACAAACATGATGTAATTAACAATATAATCACCAAGACTATGTACTACTATAATCTGAAGAAATATATGCCTATTCCATACAGTATCAAAACAGAAACACCATGTCATCAACTTCTGTACAACCAAATTTAACTCTTCTTGTGCATCATACATCTTTTTCTAGAAATGCACTTTTTATGAGGTTGTGAAGACAATAAGATACTTCACGAGTATTGGTAAAAAGCCAATAAAACTGTCCATGTTACAAGAAGCAGTAATGACTATTGCAAAGGAGAACAAATGTACCCTGAAGATAAGCATTGATATTCAAAAAGTTAAGTAACTTCTTCCAGAAGAAGCATTATTGTTAAGCTGCCATCCATCATATTTGATAACTCATGACACTCCAGTGAAGTTCCACTGGCTGAAAGAGGGGAAAAATAAGCCTGTTTCTTAAAAAAAAAAAAAAAAAAAAAAAAAAAGGAAGACCCAGGAAACTACAGGCCAGTCAGTCTCACCTCTGTGCCTGGCAATGCAGGAAAATGCCAAGCACAGATATAGGCTGGGCTGGGCAGAGAATGGACTGAGAGCAGCCCTGAGGAGAAGGTGTTGAATGATAAGAAGTACAACATGAACTAGCAATGTGTGCTTGCTGCCCAGAAAGCCAACCATATCCTGGGCTGCATCAAAAGAAGCTTGGCCAGCAGGTCAAGGGAAGTGATTTTCCCTTTCTGCTCTTGTGAGACCCCACCTGGAGCACTGCGTTCAGCTCTGGTGGTCCCCAGTACAACAAGGACATGGACCTATTAGCACAAGTCCAGAGGAGGGCCAGAGAGATGACCAAAGGACTGTAGCACCTCTCCTATCATAGAATCATTCCAGTTGGAAAAGACCTCCAAGATCATCAAGTCAAACTTTTAACCTAGTACTGAAGTCCACCACTAAACCACGCTAGTAAGTTCTCAATCCGCACCTTTCTTGAAGACCTCCAGGGATGGTGATTCAAACAATTCCCTGGGCAACCTACTGCAATGCCACACAACTCTTTCAGTAAAGAAATTTACCCTAGTACCCAACCTAAACCTCCCCTGGTGCAACATGGGGCCATTTCCCCTCATCTTGTCTCCTGGTGCTTGAGAGAAGAGCCTGATCCCCACCTTACTATTACCCATACAATTAAAGTAATTGTACAGTGTCATTATTTGAGACTGAAACTCCTTTTCTCTAGAGGCTAAACAACCGCAGTTCCCTCAGCCACTCCTCATAAGACCTGTTTTCTAGACCCCTCACTGGCTTCGTTGCCCTTCTCTGGACAAGCTCCAGCACCCCAATGCCCTTCTTGAAGTGAGGGGCCCAAAACTGAACACAGTACTCAAGGTACAGCCTCACCAGAGGTGAGAACAGAGGGACGGTGAGGGGAGAGACAGTGCAGAGCGACAACTAAGAGGACAGGCTGAGGGAGTTGGGGTTGCTCAGCCTGGGGAAGGAAAGGCTCCAGGGAGACCTTATAGAGGCCTTCCAGTGCCTAAAGGGGGCCTACAGGAAAGCTGAGGAGGGACTCTTTGTCAGGGAGTGTAGTGATAGGACAAGGGGTTATGGCTTTAAACTAAAGGAGGGTAGATTTTGATCAGATGTAAAGACGAAATTCTTCACTCAGAGAGTGGTGAGACCCTGGCACAGGTTGCCCAGAGAAGCTGTGATCGCCCCATCCCTGGAGGTGTTCAAGGCCAGGCTGGACAGGGCTTTGACCAACCTGGTCTGTGGGAGGTGTCCTTGCCCTTGGCAGGGAGGTTGGAACTGGATGGTTCTGTTGAAGTGCCTTCCAACTCAAACCATTCTACGATTCTAGATAATCCACTGTAATAATTCATTCTGTGAGAAAGCTGAACAAAGGGGACAAATCTATAGCATCATTAGTCTCTAAGTCCTAGCTTTATGATGTATTACTGACACACTTTACCTTTTCTGAAGGTACTGATTGCTTCATCAGTTAGCCAAGGCTTCCAGAAATCTGCTACAGCATTGTAAACTTCACTGGTGGTTACAGGAAGCTGATCCTGTGAGACAGCAGAACTTGCCTAAGTCTTATTATTCAGACACATGTACAAAAAAATTAATTTATCATCCCACCTGATTTCTCCCATAATGCATAAGTGTAACCAGTGATCACCAGGTAGCACACCAGAAAGCAACAAAACTTCTCGCCATCCAGTTATTGCTGATCAGGAAGAAAATCCCAGCCTTAGAACTGACAGCATTAACAATGTTAACACATTGTTAAACTAGTGCCAGAAATATTTCAAGCCTTAGGAGCACAGCTAAGTAAAAAACATACATCCTGCAAAATTATAAACCAAACATTCACAATCTATTTGCCTTCTAAAAATACAGTCTCTTGGAGAAGAAGCTTGAACCCAAGTTTCTTATATAGCAGGTGAATTTTTCACACAACTTGGGATTCATAGCTCCCCGAAATTCCACTAAAACCCTCAGAAATATTTCAATGGGATTAACCAATATTTCCATGATATCCTCTAGTTCTGATTTAAAATGTAAAAGAAAAGTTTTGTCAATGTTTTCACACACCAGCTCTAATAAGGACTGCAGCACTTTTCAGTCCAAGCCAAGCAATGCCCAAGTGCCATAGCCTGATTAGAGCCATGCTCCCATCTCACCCTGACAGGGAGATTCCAGTTTGTCCTTGCCTTTCCTAAAATACCTGCTTCAATCTTTAATGTTAGGAAAAAAAAAAATCAGAGGTCAAAAAATAGGAACACTATTACAGTGCATGTGTTCTTAAACATAGAATTTGACCTTTCTAAGATCTTTGAAACTAACCTTACTTTATTAGAGGCTTAGGCACTAAGTCTCTGTCTAGAAGCAGTGCAATCAGTAGTCTGTTCAGACATTTGTTGCTTGTAATGCACAGATATTAGTTACTAAGAAAGCTTTGAGTCATATCAGTTCAGCCAGAGCTAAGTCACTAAGACACAGCAAAGTCTGATCTCAGATAAGAGGCCATGTTATGGACTGAAGGTGGTTTGGTCTTGGGCTCTAAAAGGCAAATCAGCGTTCTGTGAATATTTGGATCAGACAGCAGTTAAGGCATTTGTTGTAAGCAGGGGCAAGAATGTGAAACAAAGTAAGACTATGCAGAAAGACCAAGGTCACAGTAAAAAAAATCTAAAAGGTATCCCAGTGGTTGATTAACCTGAGTAGTATTTTTAATAGGCTCTGCAAGAAAAATCATCCAAGACCGTGAAATCATTATGATGGATAGGTCAGAATGCAACAGAAACCAATAAAATTCTTTGGTGCATAGTAAGCAAACAGCCTCCAGAGCTTCTCTGGAACAGCCTACGGAGTGTGGCTTGCTCCACATTACTTACAGTTTATGGTATGTATTGCCAAGCACGTCCACAAGAAAAATAAAAACGTCTTCAAGAACAAAAAAATGCAACAACCTCATAGTGGGGATTTTCTGGTTGTATGGTCTTTTTCCAACAGAAACAGAAACGTATGCCGGTTCTGTGCATTAGTGGAGTCTGCCATTTCAAAGCAAAGCACCACAAAAATACTTGTGTAGTTTTGGACACAAAACTACAACAGTTACTCCAATACGCGGCCTGCTTCAAAATGCTATTTGCTGTCCAGCTGCCCCTGCTGACCATCTTTTTTCTACCTTCAAACTTAATTTCACAAACAAAACTCGTATTTGTCAAAAAAGTGTCACTACATTCAAATGTCAATGTCTGCCATGTGGATTTATATCTTTCTTTGTTTATGGGGTTACTGTATACAGCTTTTTTTCTTTATACCACAGGAGACTGCTGAATGACAACTATTCTCTGCTTTTATTTTTTAATTAAAATAAAAACAATACTATGAGTTAAACTTCATTTAAGGTGGTATTTACCAAATCATCAGTAGTTTCTGGTGGACTAACCTTGTTTCCTGTGAGTGTACGTGACAAGCTCAAACTATACTAAAAGCTTAAGACCAGAAAAATTCCAGTCCCAGCTTGGTCTGGGCACTCACAGCTCCAAGCTATGCTACATGCTTAGCTCTGATTTTCCTTCTCACATTGCCCTCTTCACTCTCTAAGCACTTCCAATGCTGATTTAGGAATCACTAATTACAGGCAATGATAGTATTATACCAAAGCCATCTACCATACCAAATATCCCACAATAGGCCTAATTAATAACACAGAAGGCTGGAACAAAAGTGTTTATCAAATTGTTTTAGTTGACCTGCTCAACATCCCTTCCGATCCCCTCAGATCCAATGACAGAATTTGTTTCTCAGTCCTGTGCACTGCCAGATCACCTTGCAATATGCTTTAAAGGACAAATGAAGCAACTGTTTATTTTTGTGCTATGCCAAGAAAAATATTCACAGATCACTGACTGTAAAGAAGCACTGTCCTGAGCTGCAACGGCCCACATATACAGTAAATAGTTAATGGGAATATTTCTAAATTTTGAATAAGCAAAGAAAGAAAGACACATTTTTAATAGTAGTGGCAAAACTATGGGAACGTTACAAAAGTTATTCCATCAGTGTGATAAAAAAATCCAGCGATGTCTGCAGGTAGACTTCCAGTAGGTCTTTCAGCAAGCCTTGAACCTTACCACATGCTGCCAGATGCACCAAGGATGTTATCTCTGTTACGTTAAGCTATTGTACACACGCCTGACTTACACATATGTATGGCTTACATAGTAAGAAAAAGTGTGTACTGACACACTGATGAGAACTGGTGGTCCTAAGCCACGAGGAGAGGAATGGTTAACAGTAAATGTGCACCACCTCAGGCAATGTGCAGATTTTATCTGGCACCAACATTTGGCTGGGTAACTTAACACATACAAATATACTTTGTATTTTTGATTGGAATTATTTATTTACCATTTTAAATGCTAATTGGAGAACCATAGGATACTGTTTCCAGAGTAACATTTACACAAATTTCACTGTTGTTTTTTAACACACTTGCCCTCTGAGGAATGAGAAACAAACTTAACATGGTACCTAAAAAAATTTCTTATTTGTTTTACCTGTGGCCAGTAATCATGATTTCCCAAGGCTGGGAAAACCTGAAGATCTGGAAAGAAACTTTGAATTGTAGAACTCATATTACCAATGATGTTAATGACGAGTTTTGTCGAGAGTTCTTTCACTGGAACATGTGGAGGGCTATCTCTGAAAAAAAGAGAAGGTTTTATTAACAAAAAGTTTAAGATTAGAAGTCATAAACTATAATATAGCTTGATTCTAGATATATCTTACAGAACCCACTACCAAATATATAGCCGAAATACATCTAAAAAGGTATCCACTTTATATTTAATGACCTTAAGACAAAAAATACAGTGCCTCCTATGATAATTCACTCTAGTCAGTTATTCCTCTGAGTTTTCCTTTGCTTTCATTTTTCTGCTTTCCACCCTCCCCGCAGCCTGTTTAACTTGCACTAATAAAGTCACGTGGCACATGTCACAGTGAACAGTCCAACAATACCCACAAATGGTTACAGAGATCAAAACCTGTTCCTGAGGCCTTATATACTCAATCTTCCACTTATTAGCCATTCAGACAAGTGGAGACTTTAAAAGTAGCATTTGTGACATACTAAACTAAGGATGTGTTGGTGTCGATATAAACTTGTGAATTACTGCACTATATGCCTATCCAGCTGTTAAAAGCTTTAATTGTAGAGTGACTTACCCAGTCCAAATCATGAATGACGCCTGCTGCCTTGAATCCTTCATGAATGTAAATGCTGACAAAATAAGTTGATATGGAGAATCACACAAAAAGTCTCCAAAAGGGCCTGGGTTAGAGGCATTGGCTCCTTTGGAAGAAGAACAAACTTTGGTGCGATCAGGGGTGATGTGGTAAGTTGGATCTAAATGCAGATCAGATACATGCCAGAACTGTCCTGTTTACAGAAAACAAAGATTAAAGAAAATGCATTATTTCTCACCAGGCTTCTAAGAATCCCATTCCTTATACAGCCTGGGAAAAAAACAAATGTAATTAGCTGAATCTAAACTTAAACAGGAACCTCTGACATTGACTTCTGAAAAGCGCAAGTATTTTACTTAAAAAATATATAGTAGTTCTGTGACTTTCTGATTACAACTTGCAAATGTGAATTGGATACACATGGATAACCTCATGTTTGCTCCATTTTTTTTCTACTGCTGTTCCTCTTTGAAGTTTTGTAAAGGAGAATGAATTTAACAAATTGCTGATTATCCCGCCTGATAAGTGTGCATGAGTGGTGCATTCCTGACAAGAGTACTTCACATAGTCTGCTTAGAAACAATGAAAACAGAAGCAGAGGCATAGATTTTTTCAATGATTCAGCAGAAAAAAAAAAAATGGAGATTGGCAGGGGCTGGAATATGGAGCTCCTTTTCATTTACAGCAATCTGGAAACTGAAGAGCAGAGGAGGTGCTAGAGGGACTTCTCCATTCTACCACCTGAAAAAAGAGAGGGAGTAACAATTTTAATTATTTTTCTACACCTTCCCTGGCTGGAGGCTGCTATAAAAGATAATGGTCTAGAAGGAAAGGCATGAAACAGCTTGTGTGCAGATTTCAAAGCACTGCTCCCTAGCAGCCACAGCAGCAAAAAGACTGGGCTTCTTACCAAAGAGAGGTGTATCAGCCTTAAATACTGAGTATTTTCCAGGCTGACACATTCTTAGTCACTTGTCACTTAGCACCGCGCAGGAAAAAAAAAAAATAAACAAACTCAATAGCATGGGAATATATTGAACAAGATGAATTAAGCCTGTATGAGATCAGCAGCCTTCAAGTCCCATGTAAAACATGAGCAATTTCTCTCTGTCAGTTTCAAAGCGTTTGGAAAAGGCAAGTCTATCGGTGGCACTGGTTGTGAAACCGGGACAGATATAAATTGATTTTCCCAAGGTCACATGCTCACTCAGCGACATAACAGGCAACACACGGCTCGACCTTGTGGAGCTTTATTTCAGGAAGCCAAGCCCAGCAGCAATCTTTCAGATCTACAGCGCTGCGCCTTCTGCGAGCACAAGACGCGGAAACGCCTGAACACTGCTGCGCGCTCGGTTTGAGACGCCTGTGATCACAGGGACGGCGAATCCCGTGCTAACAGTGCCAGAGCACTCACCTGTGGCTGTTACCGTGCCGGAAACCAGGCCAGGCAGAGCACGCTGCTGGCTGACAGCACACAGCAGCGCTCCTGTTTGCAGGGCACGCTCCAGGGCACCACAGGGCACCGCAGGGCACGGCTCACCTCACCTGACACCGGCTGGAGTGCGGCGTGCCCTGCTGACTGCCCGGAGACCCTGGGTAACCCGCACCTACCTGAGCAGCACCGCATGCAGCTGGCTAAAAGTTACAGCTAGCTGGGACACAAAACAGCAGCAGCCTGTATCGGCAGGGGTAGAAACACGCAGGGAGGCGCCGGACGGGGCTTGCCCCTTGGGGGTTATGGGATCCCGCAGCCAGGGCAGCCGGGGCTGGCAGGGGCCTCCCTCCCGGGGCCCCCCTCGGGCACCTGCGGGCCGCCGCTGCCCCCTCGCCCGCCGCCCCTCCGCCGCCCCAGGGCCTGGCGGCGGCCTCACTCACCCACAGCGAGATTGGGGCCCCGGGCCGGCCGGCGCCGCCTCGGCCGCTCGCAGCGCGGAGCAGAGCAGCGCCAGGCCGAGGGCCAGGCGGGCTGCGCGTCCCCCCGGCGGCTCCATGTTGGCGGTGCCGGGAGGGCCCTGCCCGCCGACGGCTGCTCGCGGGACCGCCCCGGCCGGGAGGGGAGGAAAGGGGCGAGCCCAGCGCTTCCCGAGCCCGGGCAGAGCGGGGGAGGCCAGAGCAAGTCTAGGGGAGCTTTTGGAAGGAAGGTTCCTCACAGGAAAATGCGGAGTTACAGCGTAAACACCAGCCCCGCTGTTAGCGTTACCGCAGAGGAGCTCATTGCTCAAGAATAGTTTCGTGTGGAGGACCCGGTGTCAGTTTTAGTAGCAAATTAGAGTAAATGTCATCAATCCCCAAACTGCTCCTCCACGTCCACCCGCTGAGGGTGGTTTTCTGTCCGGATCTGCTTTCCAGTGGTCTGCAAAGCCATTTTAGCAGAGCTGGAGGTCCCTCGTGTCAGTGTTTCCTTCACTTTCCCACTCCTCTGAACAGGTGCCACAGGCACTTCATGAATACCACACCTCTCCATGTTTTCTTACCCTTATTTACTTTGGCATTAATCTTGTTCATCTTTAGAACAAGAAAGTACCTCACCAATAAGATTTATGACAGTTTCATATGTTACATATAGAATGCACATCTGTATGGAAAAGTCATCTTTTTTAAAAAGCAAAAGTAATGCAAAATATTAAACATTCAGGCTTTATGTGTAAAACAAGTTTTAACAGTCTCAGTGTTGTCTCATATTTGATTAAAACTTTTTTCTTTTTTTTCACTTCATGCCCCATAAATCACTTGTCAGAAAGATGAATGCCACTAATGGAGACCCAAGTCTGTGTTCCTCAGCAATGAAGTAAAAGCAGCTGTTCCCATCTCTGTGCAAAGAGGTGGTGAGGACTACAGCCCGTGTGATGAATACACACATGGGCGGATAGGCAGACATGGGGTGAGACGAATGAAAGCTGAAATTGAGGTTTAAATGAGCAAATAAAACCAAAGGACAGAAGATGCTGCTTAAGCAAATGGAGGCTGAAATGGCCCAAAGCAAAAAGAATCCAGCTCCCCATACCATTGAAACAAGTTTACATTTCTCTGATGAACAGTTAGCTCCTAGATTGTAAGTGATCGATATCCACCATTTAAAACATATTTATGGTAGCTCATAATTAAGGACTGTCTTACATTTCTAGTGTTTCCCCATAAGGAAAAAAAAAAAAAAAAAAGCACTTTGATGTTCCTTTCAGGCAGCTTCTTTGTGAAAAAGTGAAGCTGACAAATTAAGGCTTGTATTGTTGTTGGCTAGATGCCACAGTTGTGTCTGAACTTCTATTGGATGAGTGAGATAAGCTATTGAAGTTACGTTAGCCCTTAAGGAAGAAAGCTGTCTATCTAAGGAAGCAAAAAGCCACTTCCAGTTGCAGATCTGAGGGGAAGCACAGTGTAGGATCAGGCCTGGGAGGTTGGGAAGGGCTCGCCTCCTGCACCTCCCTTGGCAGCCACACTCCCCCAGTATTGAGCAGCTGAATGCCACAGCTCCACCCTACCTGTTTAAAGACTTGCAGCTACCTACATCTCACTATGGGCCACTGAGCCAGCATGTCAGAAAACATGGGAGTTTCCAAACATGCTCCTCCCTGATGCCAGCAACTGCTTCAATTTTCCTAAGATAAAGTACTGGGCAGTGTTTGCCCCACCAATGTTTTAGGGAATATTTTCCAGGAAGGTTTTAATTTATTTCTTCTATGCAATATTTTACCTTAATTTGCTCACAGTGCATTGTTAATTCCAGTACACATTTGCTATAAAACTACAGTGCAGGGAGAGGAATCTCAGAAGGTTTGTCTTGTATTGTTTTCCCTCCCACCCCTGTGGAGATAGATGAAAGACAAGCTCTGTATATTGGGCTCCCCCAGTCCTTCCCTTTATCATGTCGGTCCTTTCCTCCCATCCTGTGAAACACTTCACTCTTTGAACAGATGTACTTTAGTCTTCTGTATATTAGCAAAAACAAACAACAAAAAAAAACACATTAACCAAACTAAAAACAAAGAACTCTATTAAAACAAAAACTACTTGAATCCCACAGAAATCAAAGGCTGTCTATCTGCTGACTTGAGCAGGATAACTGGATAGCAAGTTTCAAGTGAAGAGAGGAGCTGAAACTGGGTTGAACCTCTCACACCTGCCTACACACACAGAGAGGGGGCTTTAGATTTCTTCAGCAGAGAAGCTACCTCTTCTGAACGAAGGCAGTGTTTCATTTCCCATGTACCCCACATCCCATCCAGTCAATGCCCCAGGGTTTTGTACACCACATGCTTTTCTACTGCTTAACTGAGAAAAAGGAACTTTTACAACTCCCTCTAAAACACTGGAATATTATCCCATAAAATGCAAAAGGAGCACAGGTTTAAAAAACATTTTAATTTCTGTTGAATCTCCATTCCAAAACAATTCAAATATGTTCCATTTACTGTAAAAAAGAAAGGCAAGTGTTTCAGAGTTTTAATGCAAAGTTTAACCTGTTGCACTATACAGCACACATCTGCCAGTTTGTTGGCATAATTTTTTTTTTTAAAAAAAAAAACACCCCCCCTCCAAAAAAAATCTTTATTAATCCTTCATACCAGAAATGTGCATTTAAGCTACTTTCAGTTATGGACGGTACATTAATCCATCCAGAAGTAACATCTGGACAGGGGTCAGGTAAACTATGCTTTCTCATAGTGGCGAACAGCAACCACATCACCAAAGGTCAGAGTCTGCAAGTCCAAGGAAAAGACAGTGATGTTAGACACTAGACATTTTCTGGAATAACTTAAAGCATATTAAGAAGTCCATAACTGGACAAACAAGGTTGTTTCACATTACTCAATTTATAGAAAACACTTTTTACTTTATTGATATTTTAGGTAAGCAAGAGGAAAAATTTCAGTTATGATTCCCATATTAATGTAACTTCATCCTTGCTACTTTCAAACCTAAGAAAGGCATAATACACACTTACAATACAACTTAAGTGACTAGAAATGACTGTTTAATTCTTTTAATTTTGTGAATGTAATTTCTTAAATTTATCATTTTAAAACAGATTTAACACATTTTGCCAAAGTTAATCAAAATATGCAGTGTAAAATCTGACTCCCCTATTTTTGTATTCTATACTATTCTGCATAGGCATATACTTAAGGAGAATCTCATACTAAAATAAATGCATTCTATGCACTTATGTGGCTAGAACTGCCAAATACTCCAATTACTGCAGTTGTTTAAAACACTAAGTGCAGTGTGTGAGCTTTGGACATATTTTGCTAATTGGAATATGGCATCTCACTGCATTCAAATTCCAAAGGAAGTGATTTTTTCTGTATGTGTGTTGCTGTTTCCAAAAACAAAATGTATTTTTCCTTGAATCACTGTCACATTGTGCTGCACTGACTATAAACTTTAAAAACTTCATTATTTGTAAGTCTCCATCCACACAGATACTCTTTGAAGTATTCAGAAAATAGAGCTGTTTCTCTCTAACAGCCAAATCACATAGATTAATTGAAATAGCTGAAGAGGTTTTATTTCGAAAGCTACGTCTCTATGCCAAAAATAAGCATGAGTATTGTCAGTCTGGACCTGTTCCTGAAAAGTCAGGAAGATAATGGGAATTTAAAACAAGAACGATTTTTCTCCAGACTATTGCAGTTTTAATCATTTTTCAACAAGATAGGAAGAATAAGCCCTTAAATGAAATATGAAAATACTATTATCTCCAGCAATACTCAAGTTTTATTTTACTACGGAAATACTTAAATACTTGTTCTGTGCAATCAAATATCATTTACACGTGCACATATAAACATTTTTAAAGAAATATACATTATCACCACCAACAAATCATTGCCTATATAATAATCAAGAACTTCGTATATTTTGCAAATTACCGTAACTATTTACTTATTTATTTTTGCTTGTGCATTTACATAAAGTCTAGAGAGAAAGGATACACTTGGCATATGCACAGGTTGGCCTGCCTAAAACCACTAGCAATTCTTGAATTGTCAGTAAAACTAGATGCAAAACAAAACAAAAAAAAACATTTGAAAAATCTCTCCTAGCTTTCCCCACCAATTAGTTTAGGTTTTGTGTGCAAGTTAACATTTACCCACAAAGTTGACAAGTTTGAGATGATATTAATGGTGTATGTGAATGTTCAGTGATTTTTATACTTACCATTACCATTTTGCCATCCTTTATTTCTCTAACAAAGTTTGTTTCTTTGCCATCCCACTTCTGTACGTGAACTAGCTTGTCTCCATCCAGGGTCACAACAGACTGAGATATCAAAAATACAGACACTCATTTATTTGGGGGTATTTAAGATTCAACTCATGTTAAGCATGCACTTTTCTATTGAATTCTCTCTAGATTCACGTGCATCTACTGAAAAGAAAAAGTAGTCCCTGCCATTTTAAAGCCAAGCACATGAATCACCCTTGTTTTAAGGGTGAACTCCATACAATTAGCATTTGTATCAAAGAAAGGAAAAAGTTTCCTTTGAGTTCCAGCCTCAAAGGAAACATCCTTTCAGATGTGCTTTGGGTAACTGCTACGTTAAGCCTTCAATGACACAGGCAGAAGGCATTCCTTCATTTCAACCGGAAAAAGTTGCACCAAATGATCTTTTATCAAAAGAAAAGAAAAAATGGGCACCCAACAGAATTCCTCAACACTGGAAGGCAGAAAGGGGGCTGAAGACATAATATGCCGATTCAGACAAGACACAGTGCAAGTAGACAAGACGCAATCTTGTCTTTTTCTCCTGTCCTACACAGTGCTACAACTAGCAGTAGCAGAGGTTACTTTTTTTTTTCCTTTGACTCTACCCTGCAAAGGATGCAACCTCGGGGGTAGCAAGGGAGAAGAAAAAAAAAAAAAAAAAGAAGTTCACTTACTTTGCAGTTTCTATCATCTGGGGTAGTTTCATCAAATTCCTCTCCAAGTTTAAAGCTGATTTCTGTGTTTTTGAAAGTGCTCTGAGTCCTGATCACTACTTTGTCCCCCTCGCTGCTGATAATCACGGTGGGCTTAGTCACATTCCCCACCTGCCGCGTGGCAAACCCCACTCCTAAACCCCCAAG